AGATCCCGCAAGAGAACACTCCATGACAGAATTCACGACGAAATTGAACAAAAATGGGGAAATCAGACAACCCTGACGAACGCCACTTGTGGTCGGAAAGCTATCCGATAGGGCACCATAGACCCTGACGCGACCTCTAGTGTTCGAGTATAGAGCACGAAGGATGTTCACATATTTCGTGGGAACACCTTTCCGCGCAAGTAATTCGAACAGAATCGATCGATCAACTGAATCGAACGCATTCTGGAAATCGAGGAACACAGCTATTGTCGGTCTGCGGTATGCGTGGCGCTGCTCTAGCACCTGCCGCAAAGTGAATATATGGTCTATACAGCCAAGTCCTGGGCGAAAACCGGCCTGATCTCCTTAATCCGAGATTCCCGTTCTGCAGTGAGGCGACGAATGATAATCGAGGCCAGTAATTTTGTCACAGTTGGCGTTAGGCTAATACCCCTGTGGTTCGCACAGTCTGTGCGACTGCCCTTCGTGTATATTGCCACTATAATCGATTCGCTCCAATTAACTGCCACACTCTCTTCGTTCCAGACACGTTCGAAGAGGGAGGTCAGTGCCCTGCAGAGGACCTCACCTCCATCCTTACATAGTGCAGGTGGGAGAGAATCCGGGCGAGCGGCACGAAAGCGATTAAGGGCTGTGATCGCGTTTCGGACCTCGGCCTCCGACGGAGGCTCTAAACTAACCGTCCATGGCACGTCCTGCATCACCTGAGTAGGAAGAGGTCCGGGAGCAGGGGGCCAGCTGAACTGATCTTGAAAGTGTTCAGCCCAACGATCCATACGGCGCTGCTTATTGTGTATCAGCGCACCCGCGCTGTCTCTGATTGTCTCACTGACGCCTGGTTTTCTGGGACCAGTGGTTCCGATTAGCTGGAAGAGCTTGCGGTAATTGCCTACTGCTCCTGCCTCCTCCATTTCTTGCGCCCGACTGGTCCACCAGGCTTCCTTGTCAGCACGTAAGCTCCGCTTTAGTTCACGCCTAATAGCCCGTCTGGTCACATTGTGTTCAGAACCAGCCGGGAGGTGTCTTCTAGCTTCCAACAGGTTCACGGATATCTCGGATATCCAGTGACTGGTGCGGTGACGATTGATGGTGCCACAAACAGATGCTCCTGCGTCGTGCATAGTGGCCGAGGTCCTATTCCACTGAAGCTCAGTGTCATTGGGACAAGACAGCGAGAGTTCGCTATGCAGTGCTTCTTGATAGGCTTGCCTGACAGAGGGCTGAGACAATTTCTCCGTTGCCAATCGGGGGAGACGCTTTGTGCGCCTTCCGGTAAAGTTCATGGAGAAACGATAGCGCACCAAGGCATGACCAGAGTCGACACAGGTACTCCAGTACGAGCGGCAATCCAGGATGGAACCACGCCACCTGTAACTTATGGCTATGTGGTCAATTTGGGTCCATCACTGGCCAGTTGCAGGAGGACGCCAAGTGGCACTTCGGCGCCCACTGTGTCTAAATGCAGTGCTAGTAAGAAACAACTGGTGCTCCGCACACAGTTGCAGCAGACGCTCGCCGTTGTCAGTCCGTTCGGAGTTAAGTCCACAATTACCACCCAGCTGAGCTTCTGAAGAGCTCAGACGCCCTACTTGTGCGTTCATATCCCCTGCAAGTACTATAATATCTGAACTAGTAGCACTGCGTAGTAGCGCGTTCAGTTCGTGATAGAAAGTGTCCTTGACTGCATTAGAACTGCAGTCAGTGGGAGCATAAGCAGAAATCACAAACAAACAGCGTTTTGTTTTACTTCGCGAATTCACCTTCGCTGATGTTGTCAAACGGGCTGCACACAAATGGCTGTTCACCGGAATCCAATCAACCAACGATGACTCAGCCTTGCAGCTGAGAATGATACCTACACCAGCTTGACCCGTGAGTGCCGCATCGGCGTCTCCGGATGCGTGCAACCAATAACGAGAGGATAAGCCGGGTGCAGTTAATTCAATAACCCCGTTAGGGTCATTAATCCTAGTTTCGGACACACAACACACATCAACACCCAGTGTATCCAAGGTGCGGGCGAGTGCAGCCTGCTGACCTGTTTGTCTTAGAGTGCGGACGTTGAATGTCGCCATGGAAACAGGACAGCGTGGCCTTATAAGGGATTTTTGCCGATAGGTGCTGTGGGATGGTGGCTGTAGACGGTACTACTCCAGTAGCACTTCGGTTGCTGTCAATTAAGCTGGGAATTATAGAAGGAAGGTTAGTAATAGGGGCCGGGATGGGAGTAAGAGAAAAAGATCAAAAAAGAAAGAAGGGAGGCGCCAGCAGTAGCATGCTTTCGCTTATCCGCCCTGCTGTATGCAGCAGATAAGGTGACCCTTGATAATCTGCGCGACGGCCGATGCAGGATGAAGTTTATGTTTGAAGAAAATGTCATGGTTGTATGTGGGCTGGGATAATGCCAGGGCGCCCAGACCTAGACAGGAGAACGATTAGGGTCCTCATCCAAAGCCTTTGGCTCAAAAGCCTGTCCGCAAGGCAGCGGGGTGGCAGTGATTTAGTTTTACAGAAATGGACGCCATCCCATTTCAAACCCCCAACCTGGAGGACCAGGAGACTGAGTTTGTCTGACCTCTCACCATTGACCAACCTGGTAGGAGTAGCTCTCAAAATGCTCGGAGGCATTACCCAGTATAGCTCAATGGGTCATTGAGGTACGCAAACCGTCGCACCATGTTAAGGTCCAGTCTCGTTGCGACGGCAAATTTCTCACAATTAGGGTTTTCAGACTGCAACCATGCGATCATCAGAACGCTATAAACTACCCACTCTGAAGATATCTTCGACGCACATGGATACGTAAATAATACTACTGCCGTTCACATTCACTACGTGGTGTATTCCCTAGCTCGCACCCTTAATCCTTGGGTTCACTGTGAATATGTTGTTGCATTTACCCGAGTACGGACAATGGTCTACACTGCACACAGGACGCAGTGTCTCCATTAGCGACGTGTGCAGTTTTGTCATTATTTCGGTTGCAACATTTGCCCGTAGTTTAACCCGGCAAGCGGTCAGTGACTGCCGAAAAAGCTGTCAATTCAGGCAGTACACATAGCTTTCAAATTGCTCAGCCCAACGCTCTAAATCTTTTGATAGGCTGTGAATAGGCTGTATCTTCTCGTCTCCTAGTCTCGCTAACGCCGGGTATCCAGTACCCGTTTCCGTAGCAGATGAAAAAACTCCGGATGATCATCAAGGTCAGCGGCTGTTTCCATCTCCGATGCATGCTGACCGCCAGGCTTCGTAGTCCTTCTTCAGGCTAGAACGCAGATTAACCCTGGGATCATTGCGAGTCACGCTGTGTTCCCAAACAGACGGCATGTGTCAGTCAGCATCCGGAAGTTAAAAGGATTGTGTAGAGAGCTACTGTTCAGTTTGACAATTAGATTTGCCAACTGAAGACGTATCTGTTGATTATACGTCCGGTGAACACGCTGCGTTAAGCGAGAGCTTACCAAAACAGAATGCCAGAACAATGTTACGCATAATGTGCTACAGGAGCCTGACCATAGCAGTCATCGAAGCTAAATCTCTCTCTCTAACGGGAGCAGCCCGGAGATTATTTGTAGGCCGCCTGTAGCCGATTGGCTAACCAATGGAAGTAAGTCAACCGCATCGTTTTACCTTGAGGTGTACCAATCAGAATGATCTACCTTGAAGCCCTCCAGTAAGCACACTACTACAGGCAACAAACAAGCGTTTGCGTATCTGGTAGTTGCTATATTCAGGAATTTTCAATTAGGTCTTTTCTCTCATGATCGATTTGTTTCGACCCAATATTTTGGCTGCACATTCCGTCTCCCGAGTGCTCCACACAAGTTCCGCCAGAGGCTTTTGTCTTCTGATTTGGAAGGTGGCTGCATCAGTTATCCGTACTTTCATCGGAAACACAACATAAAGAACATCTGGTTTCGCCAGTAAGCAAATGTTTATGCGCTCAAAGCATCATTGCCGGTGTTTGCCGTACGAACGCGGAGTTCGGCAAATACAAGTGCGTGATCGAATTACACGGTCGTGAACCAAATAAAGCAACTATTTTGGACGCAGGCTTTCCAACAGTAATTGATCACTATAAGAGTAACTTGGATGGATGGGAAATAGGAATAGCCAGAAAGCGGCACACGATCTCTCTCAACTGTTCAGTAATATCGGACTTCGGAACTAATGCAAATACGGTAATCATTATTTCGACGAGTCATTCTATTCAGCCGAGTAAGACGTCATGTTACGCAGGCAGGACACAAGTGTATAAAAGTCCAAATAATACAGACAAAGCATCGGTATGCAGGTATTAATTAATAGTAATAAGCCGGAACTTCGTGTAGTAGATCCACTGATCACAACCCCTAGCGCTTGTACGCAGGTTGGTATGCCGCGAAGTAATTCGCACTTAAGAAAATTCAAAACGGCGATATGTGGGTTACAACTCAAAGGCCACAAGCGCTATGATCTTAGCCGAAGAATCAGCGATGTTCGGCAATTCTATGCGATATTTGTATCGCGGTTCCAGGTTAAACAACTTGAGTGCTTCAAGTTGAATTTGGAAGCACGCTGTGTGGCTGGGTTGCGACTCGCAACCTCTATTGAGACCTCGGCTCACTTTGAGGTAAACCTCGGTCATTCCGATCTCAAGGACCGTATCCTGAATGGATATATTCGGGTGTTGCTCTTCCCAACCCTGACTTGAGTGCATATGAAGGCACTGTGTTAGAATATTTAGGAACACAGAAAAATTCTGTTGGATCGACTTCTTCTTAGGGATAAACTAGAAAACTAGATGAGAAAAGGAAATTGAACATTCGTCTGCACAAGTGGTGGACATGACCAAGCCATGGCCACTTACAAGAATTAACTGCAAGCAAACATGGAACAGCAAAAGAATTGTATAGATAGAAGGCGTCTTTAATCAACTTAATAAAGAACACTATGCTGTTGGATGAGTCGGGGTTGCGAGTCGTTATAATATTACTTACGCGTAGTGGAATCCAATATCATGGTTTCCAACAATGTTTTTGAGGATCGTAACAGACGGATCATGATGGAATATTCGCCTGTAGCGAATGAGTTCAGAATCCAGTTCATCGTCATTTATCCACAGACCTTCGTCAAAGATATCACCAAGGATAAACACTACTTCCGGGGCCAAGAGATAGACGGCAGCTTGGAAAGTTTGTCGCAGTTCCCAGTCTCTAATGAAGATATAAGAATACGCCGTAAAACCAAGGTTAAAGCATGAATAGCAGCAGTATGGGGATCGGGATGCGGAAGTCATCTCTAGACAGAATCTGTGCATGATCAACTGCAGTCAATCGCCCAGTTGACTTGGAACATGCTGTTTGTTCACTTAATGGCGCACAGTTTTTAAAGTTCATACACATATGAGTAATGCCACCAAGTTTCGAATTATCTGGATCATGGGTTCTACCAGGTTTAAGTTAGCCCTAACCCTGATAGTATCTTAAGAAAACACATGAATTACGTTTTTACATTCGTCGACCTGCCGATGAATGTGCATTTCCTAAGCTCTTGGTCAGATCTGCATACTGAGAACCTTCTGGTCAGTAAAATGAAAAAGGTAGTAGTAGTAGCAGCAGTAGTAGTTTAATAGCAATAACAGCGAGTATTAGTACTCCGGAGCATCTGTCACCAACCGATCAGCCACGTTAGCTATGAACGGTAGCAGAGGCCTGAGGTATTCCTAAACATATCCTTACAGGACAGTTAGCAAGACTAGGTGCATAAGCTTCCCGCAAAGAAACAATAGCTACAGGAATGTAAACTTATGTGTAGAAATGTTGATGAGGTGCCTGATCTGTAGGGTAGGAACGAACTAAAAGATACGACTCAAGAGGGTTAAGGTCTATAACAATCCAGGGCTAAATGGATACTTACTCATGAATATTACGAAATGATGGGAGCAAAACGAAATAAAATGCTTTATCCTGACGTATGGTCTTAAACACTAGTTGGACCAAATATTGGGTTTATAGAGTTCCGGCCGTAACAAAAACCTGCATGACCCAAGGCCTTGCAGATTACTCCTTTCACAACAAAGCGGTGGAGGATAGATAATTGAGGCGTGTACGTGTCATTATGATCGTGCAGCCATTGTCGCTGTAGTTAGCGTAGACAATTCTTGAAAAATGCGTTAAATTGTATTCTCCCAGTTGTATAGCGTAGTTTGTGCGATCGGGATCTGAGGGGAAGAAGACGGGAGGCCGACTCATGACTTCAGTCAAAAGGAAAGAAGGTCCTCGTTCTAAAGCTGGCTTCGGTTAGGACCTTCCGATAACATTGTAGGCATCCAAGAGAAGAGAAACACGTTTGTTCGGAGGTATGGTTGACATGACGAAAAGCCGGCCTCAGTGGCGTTTGTGTTACGAGTTTCTTTGTCCCTCCCTCCATGTTAACTTCCTCGTCTAACCGTGATCTCAGTCTCAACGTATATATCTAGTAGCTGCATCAGTTACGGCCCCATTGATCGAATGGATCAAGGTTCACTTCAACGGGAATTGTAGTCTGCATTGAAGTTGCGCGTCGCAATTCAATCATTCGATTGTTTCAAAATGACTCTTGCTGTACATGTACTGCTGTTCTCCTTTTCCTCTCAATCTGCTACCACCAATTAACTAGTTTGCATTACGGAACAATGTGTGAAGTTTTTCCGCTTCTAAGTAACGTGTATGATGCCAAAAGATAGCGAATGTGCGATTGGAGGTGGAACGTCAACTGAAATCCAGTTGCGTACGAGCAGAAGTTGGGAATAGTAGTTATAAGAATGAAAGATTGTGGATATATAGGTTTATAAGGAACGGGACGCTGCCTCATCTCAGCAATAGGTAGTGTTTCCGGAGAAGAACGCAATTCACCGAGCGGCCGCCACTAGCCAGTTTAACAATCCGTCAGGTGGAAATATCCATCCGTTCCTTATGGGCAGAGCATCTAGTTTGTAACAATAGATTACGGGTTCAAGTCCAAGTGGATGCGGTGGATAGCACAGTAACTACAGCCCTACTGATATTCCTAGTAGTTGCTTAGTTACGAAGCGTGGCTACAAGGTCCGGTGTGCTATTGATGCTACTCTTTTACCGAAAAGTTTTTCAAAGGACGAGACATAAGCAACGTTTTCAGTTAATAAGTGAGATAACGCAAACAGGTAAGTAGATATTTGGTTATAAAGGGCAAAGGAATTAGTTTAAAAAATAACAAGCATGGTGCTGATTGGAGGAATAAAACGAGTAACGGTGTCAGCTGCCTGATTATGCATTTCTGCGGGCAATGAACATCATCATTATACATGTCAGCTAGAGGTAGTGAAACACCTCCGCTATTGTACCGCAATGAACACAGTTGAGTAAATCAAAAAACTTCATTTTGCGAGCCGCGGCTTCCGAACACAGAATGATTACAGATGCATAAAAGCTAACCAGTTATGGTATGGTGAAAGAAACTATAAGAGTATAGTCACGGAAGTTGAGATACGGGCAGCTTCAGTGTAGGTCGGGCCATCGGAAGTGGAAAATCATGTGCATGTGAATAACAATATCCTTAATCGAAACAAACGCTTACGCGGACAACAAAATAAGTTGTATCCTAAGGAACAAAGCCATGCTATAATAGCCTGTAAGAAAAATGCTAACAAAGCAATTTAAAAGTAATTATAATTGCAAATCGAATGGGCGTTAAATGTTCCCAAAGGATAATTTCAGTCAAAAAATTAGGATGAATTGTACCCACACCTGAATATCTACTCTGTAAGTTGGTATCCGCCTCCAGAAACACAAGAGCGTCTCAATATTTTGGAATATATTTGGAACCGATCGGGGAGTCATCATTTCAGAAAACTTGGTAAACGACCGGTTAATGTATTTATAATGATACATGATGATAATGATAATGTATCATTATAAATACATTAACCGGTCGTTTACCAAGTTTTCTGAAATTACAAGCGCGTCTATTAAAAATATACAAATGCAATAAGCTATAGTATCTATAAGGTAAAGTGATGAAAATGCCATCGAAGAAGTTGCGCAACCTCTCCCTGGGTCACCAATCAGGTGCATGTGCCCGGCCTTATAACTATGGAGTTATAACAGCGTGAAACAATCAGCTGAAATAGCGGGAAAATACGGTGTTTGATGAGCACGCACAACAAAATGAAGCTGTTGTCAAATTTTTTCTCTGATAAACTCTATAAGTGCGCTCAAACGCCGTCCAGTGCGCACTCTGCGATTAATGCATGCACGTAGTCAGTAACATGGGTCTCGACCTTTTCCAATGTTTCCAACGCGCAACTTCCCAAAACATTAGCTTTCACTGTGATCCTTAGCCAACGACGAAGGTCTCCTGAAGAACCTGCATCTTTTCAGACTACATACTGTTCCAACTCAGGCCGTGTCCAAATCTGAAGACGAGACACTTTTCCATTAGCGTACCTACCCGCGTCTGCGTGTTCTACACCCGGAGGCAACCGAAGCCGTGCATCCTTCACTACGTTGGCAGAAACGCCACGACCCAGTGAGAACAAAAATGGGTTGAAGGATAAGCCCAAGGCGTATGCCGCATTGGCGGGCGCCATCATCACAGCAATAGTTAGGATAACCCCAGCAGCCACAAAGAAGATGAAATCACGGCCCAAGATGAGATTAAACAACACTAATACAAATCTAAGGCTCGTATTAAAGAGAGTAATGCAATGGGAGTAAATGACATTTCCTCAAAAACCAGCGCCACCGAAAGGAAACAAACTCCCTCTTTACAATCGCTGCCTGATCATAACAAACATTTACGAATCCGACAAAGAGAATCCGGCTGAGGATACGCGATGATCAAGCCTTCTTTAAACGAATAGTCTCCACACCGCTCGATGGGGATGAGCATGAGATCAATCGCGTTTCCGACTTGACAGAAAACAAAATGGCCCGTTCAAATGTTCGGTCTGCGAAAATCGTCCGTCAGGATGAGAAAGGATGTTAGCGCATACTCAGACAAGCCCAAGCAACGAGGGTGATACCCACTTTTTGAAAGATCTCTTCCCAGAAGACCGAGTCAAAATGAGGCAAGCTGTCACCGATCAGTGAACCCGCCGAGCGAATGCAGAAATCGATTGTCACATCGTGAATTTTCGCGTATTGCGATGGAGGCCAATTCTTCCTCTACCTGAGTCTCAAACAAAGAACGGATCACGATCAGTACTTGCGAGCGCAGGTGGTCTCAGAAACAAGCTAGATGAGATTCCACTCTATCTCTGAACAGCAAACGGGCCTAATGACGTTCACTGAGACGTTGCTGTCATCAGAGATTTCGGACTCGGATGTTCATGTCCTAGGATATCAAATATCTTGATTTGATCGCTTTGGTGGGAGATTTGAGGTGGAGTAGTCCTCAACGAAGACCTACATCAAAGTGACAACAATGATATGTCAGAAGTGCGCTGGTGTCGAATTCATAACCGCTGTCAATACGCTGATGGTTGGAGTGGTCTACAGAGCACCAGCAGGATCTGGCTCACGCATATTGCACCTCATGCGAACACACATCAGAGGCACAAACTGTCTGCTTATGAGTGATTCCAACACCCACAGCACCATTTAGGACCTTCAAAATAACGCCTATCCGGACTCATTTGAAGCTGCTAGATACGGTCCTCGAACGCAACTTGACTCAGTATGCCTTGACACCAACGCGTATGCTCCCGGGTCAAACACCAAATGCCAGACCTCGTTCTCACTTTGGCTATAGCTGACATCTTTGATCTAACGAGCAATCAAAAGATTGGGAAGTATGATCACAGTACAGTTTCCTTCCAGTTGACATCACGCCTCACAATCCACGAGCAAGGGACACTCTGTCGTGATTTCTGGCGCGTTGTCTCTCAGCTTAAAAACAGCTGCAACCACCCTGGATTGAGTATCCCGCATTCCTTGGATCTTGATGACACATAGGAACATTTACGATCTAAGATGATACCGCTCATTGAACAATTCGTTCCAAGCTATAGAAGCAGGCCTCCATCCAAATGGTTCCCTCGGTATGAAAAAGAAAAAAGATCCATAAAGAAAGCACGATGAAAACTGCGAGACTACTTCAAGACCACATTGGTGACATAAAGCTATTTGAAGTACGAGCTTGTCAAAAACTTATGCAATTTGACAAAACGTGACAAAGGACAACAGTATGAACACGG